GTTTGTGTCTGGAAACAGCTGAAGAGCATTGACTAGTTGGTTTGAGATTTCTACCAGTATTTAGAAAACCTATAGAAAATTAAGTGAGTGTCGGAGATGAGATTTCCAGGTGAGGCAGTTGCTGTGGTGCAGTTATACAAGCTCTACAGTGACTACATTGGGAGTACCGTTAATTTTGGTCACCCAAAGAAGAGGACTATGACAGCAAATAGATTATTTGTTATAAGATTAACAGTTGTCATCTTCCCAGAAAAAAATGGTGTAGTCCTACCTGTACAGGTGTATATCAAAGAAACAAGCTTAGTAATCAGCAGAAAAAATTTCCAGGGAATTCCACTTTATATTCAAAGTTTGAACATATCCATGCACCCATGCACGCTATCATTGAAGAGGAGGTTCTACGAACCTGACAGGGAAAGCAAAATGAGGTGGTGACAAGGCTGATGAAATGAGGATGACAGCTTTGCCGAGGAATCTCAGCATGGGGTGGGCTGGCGTCTTCTCCAGGCTTAAGCTTGAAGACTGGGTTGATTTAGCCAGGCTGTCTGGAGGGAAGGAGATGTTCTTCCTGCCAACCATGAAGCATAGACCCAACTGTGGGGCTTAGGAAATTGACTTGAAAAGTTCAGCAGAAGCCACATGTTGCTCATGGGAACTGTAAAGCTATACATCTGACTATTTCAAGAAATTTGTAGAAGCCTTTGGATACTTGGGAAGCCAGACAGCTTGTTGGAAGAATATAGTTTTCTTCTTATCAAACGTATGATCTAGATAAACTTATTAATATTTTATAGCAGTTGATAGTTGTCAGGTGTCTTTTATGCAGTTTTAATTCCAAGAGTAATTTTTCTTCACAATTCTTAGGCTTTCTATGTTTATGACTTTCTAAGATCTGATGTAAAATAAAATCAAGACTGTTGCTAGTTAAGTATTTCCTGTTGTGGTACTGCAGTAATTCATCCTCTGCGAACAAACTAATTGTGGGAGTTGCATGACATAGTTGCCTCCAACGTGTTTCAAGCTTGGCCCTGTTCTAGCTTGTCCTAGTGAATTTTCAGACTCCCTGGAGAGGTTATTAGATTTGTTGCAGAAGTACAGTTGGACTGACTGGGGAAAAGTTAACAGTTATGATATGCTGGATTTGATGGACTGGTCCTCTAGGAAATAATCTGTAAAACATCTTCTGATAAAAATTGTGTAGACACAAGAGGGACAACCTTGAGCATCTGTTCTGTAAATCAATTTGAATGAACACATACAGAAACACTTTACTTGCAGCTACTTTGTATGGACATAAAACAGGAGGAAAAGGTTCAAAACTCATTCCTAACATTTTGATCATCACTGGGACCCTGAGAGAGAAGTTGGTGCAACTTTTTCAACTTTTTCTTTTCCACACAAGCCTCTTGAAACTGAAAAAGCATTTGAAAATGTTCATAGGTTCTCCTGAACTGTAAGAATATTTACGTTGAGGTTGATTTGGATTAATCTTTTATTTTTATGTGATTTTTTTTCCTCCATATAATTTATTTATGTTGATAACAATATTTTCCTGGAGCGCTGAGATTTACCAGGTGTAAATGTTGTGGGTGCTGGGAGTACAGAATTGCCTAATGCAAATATTAGAGAGAGGAGCTGAAGGATAATAGCCACTAAAAGTCAGGGCACAGCTGCTGCTGATGGAGGCCAGTAGTGCTACAAACTACATGGTATTTGCAGATATGGAGTGCTAAATGCTGGTTTTTTCTGCTTATTGTATTCTTTGGTTGCACATATCAGGATGATACAGGGTTTTTTAAGTTTTTTTAAATATTTCAGATTTTCTCAGATTTTTTCACTTTGGAGTTTATGTTTTTGTCTGTATTTGAAAGCCTGATTTTGTTTTTTAGTGGGGATAGCTATGAGGTGTCAAGAAAGGCCACTGTATCGACCCTTTTGGCAATGAAAATTGGATAAAAATAAAATAAGAGTATTATCCTAGCATGACTAACCCTATACAAGCTGAGCCAAACTCTTTCATTGGAGATTTTAGGTTTTGCTGCTTTACTGTTTTTCCCAGTTGGAGTGAAGTTTATCCATGGAGAAAATTGGTTATGAGAAGAGACTAGAAAAAATGAAGATAGAAGTCTATGCAGAGAAAAAAAGAAGCATTTTTCTGATTAAATTCTTGGGGAAGTTGTGACCAAGATGATACTTCCACAGCACTGAGATAGGCAATAAAAAAGTGACCTAAGTATCTTGCTCAGTCCTAAGCCTTGCTGAAGATATTTTAATAAAAACTTAAGGATATTAGACAAACTGTTGTTACTCCTTTCAGTGACTTTTTCTTATTTGCCCATATAATGTTTCACTAGAACAATATTTATTTGCATTGCCAAAAAACTTAGGTGTTTAACCCTGCCACATTTTCCTAACTACATGAAAGCAAACCAAGCCTAGCTATTTTAAATTGCATTTTAAGTCTTAGCTTATGTATTATAGCATTCCAGGAGGATTACGGTATTACTGTGTCTCACTTAATGGCCTAAATATCTGTTTGTGGTGCAGCTGAGCATTAACATACACATCTTGCTTTGCTTTCACTGTCATGTTTCAAGGGTTTGGCTTCATCCTATGGCACATCTTCAGCACAAGAAAGATAAATCTTGATGTGTTGAATGAGCTGAATTTTTCATATTTTCACTGCAGAGTAAGGAGTTTTGGGTCAAAAAGATACCCTGGTGATTAACATGTCTTATTATTGAAAATTACAGCCTGCCTTGTTAAAAAAACCTTAATGCATTTTCTATTTAAGAGCAAAGGGGTCTTTCCCTTCTATTCCTCATTAATGATTTGTTTTCCCTGTGCTGCGTAAATGATTTCCTAGATTGTATCTTTTAAAATATTACAAATTAAGCAAAGTGGAAAACTCAGGGAATTTGTGTAGGTGAAGGATATTTCCAGAGCAGTGATGACTGATATTATGCATAAGGCTGTGCTGGAAAGGCCCATTGTAGCAAGCAGCTCTAGATATATATCAGTATAAATACCTCTCCCGACTGTGACCTCTTGCCTCATACTTATTACAATAATGGGTAAAACAGGGCTTTTTCCAGCTGCTGTTCATAAAGCAAAGATAATTAAGCCTCCTTTTGTTCCTCTGAAAGTCATGTCCTGGCTCACCATGTGCCCATGGGTTACCTCACTTAGGGTCAGGCACCTCCTGATACAGCAGGACACTTGAGTACCCACTTGAGACCGTATGGCCTGTTTAAGCTGCTTGGGCAAAGCATGAATGGAACTGTTTCATCGCACTCAAGGCCAAAGGAAGCCCGAAGTCACCCTGGTTAACCTCGTACGTTGCAAGATATTGCATTTCCCACAGCTGCCCTCTGCTCAATGTAAATACGTCAGGTCAATGATTTCTGCTCATTGCTGTATTTTCAGAAACAGCTGTGTTTGGAGCTTTTCGGTTAGTAGGTTTTTCATCTGTGCCTCTTTATCCTGTATAATATGTGATCTGAAACCAAGTGATTTTGGGGGGAAAAATGCAAACAATCTGCAAACTGTTACCTTTATTAACCTGCCCTATATTTTCCTCATCTGTTCAATAGCATTAATTCTCTTTCATCCTAAAAGTTTATGTTGACAGAGGGCCATATTAAATATTCTGTTCTTATTGTTAAAGATGTAAATATGGCCCTAAATGGTGATTTCTTTTTAAATTTTTTCAACTTTTCAATTATTTTTTTTTCAACTCCTTTGTAGCTATTTCTGTTCTTCAGTTCTGTGTTTAGTGCCTCAGGAGTGTCATGGATTTATAGAAGCCAGAGGACCTGCAGGACTTTTAATTTCTGAAGCCGTGACCTTAAGGCAGAGATTAGTCAAGAGACTGTAGTTTTCAGCAGTTCATCCTTTCAAATTAGCCCAACTCTTTTCTTACTTTGCCAATGGCACTTTCTTCAAAAAAGAAAACCTGTGTGTGACAGTCACTTTGGGAATGGTGGAAATGTGTAGTGGGGAACTATGCTTTTCACCTGGAATATTTTCAGTTATAGGTCTTAAATGATTTCAGTTATTGAAATTACTAAAAACATTCAAATTGTATTTCTTATTTAGTCCCTGATGTTGTGTAATATCACTACCAAAGACATCACAGTTTTTTGTTGGTTTTTTTTTTCCTCTGGAGTGTTGCTTGTTAGTTGACCAGGTGGTCATTGGGTGCATTTCTTGGAGTCCCTCATGATACAAAAAGATTTTCTAATTATTTTTCCAATATGTCTATGCTCTTTCTGTCTCCCCTGGGACAGAGGATGGTGTTAGGGGACTGCTCAAGCTACTTGCAGCTTGTACAGAAGACAGCTCAGTACAGAGTATATCAGGCACTCCTAACATTTCACCCCATCTTACTCAGTTTAACCCAGTTAAAGCCAAATTTCCTCTTAAATGTCATTAAGCAGTTTGGCTTATGACAATGTATTTTCCTTTCTGCTCTCACTTTCTTTTCCTTCTCTACTTTTTTTTTCGCCCATTTTATTTCTCTCTGCTGTGTTTTTGGTTGCTGTTTCTTGTAAGATGAGAAAGCTAAGATATAGAAATAAAGTTTATACTTCATTTTGAAAGCAGAGGGATTTTTAGGGTTTCTGGTTGGAGGACAAGGATATGGTGGTGGCACCTCACTGTCATGAGACTTAGGGCCACAGTGACAGATTTACTCTACAACTCACATTGGAGGGAGGGAGAGCTTGAGCAGCAGTTGCAGGGGATTCAGTCCCTAGAAAAGGTGGATAAATAAGTTTGGATCTTCTTGGCACTGGTTATTGCATTTCCACCCCTTCTCCAGCATGTCTGAGGCCAGGTTTCCCAGAAGATGCCTGGTCCTGGCCCTGGCCCTGGTTTGGCCGGTCACGCCCATCCCCAGCATTGAGGGGTGGCCCCTGGTTGCTGCCAAAGAGCCTCATTGGCTTGCCTGACTCCCAGATGGAGACTCTTCCTCTAAAAATAGCCCTTTATTTTTACAGCTCCTTCAAACATCTGATTGGCGGCCTAGATGACGTTTCCAATAAAGCCTATGAAGACGCAGAAGCAAAAGCAAAGTAAGTATCTGCTCATTGTGTTCAGCATTAAATCTTAACTTTGTTTTTATTGATGGTACATCACTGTAATTTAAAAAAAACCCTGCTTTTTTCCTCAACATGATAGTGTAAAACAGTTAAAAGTAATGAATGAGGTGCTTACTCTGAATTTTCCTCCGGATGGGCTTGCTTCGGTCCCCCTGGCTCTTTCCATGAATATGGGAGGACCAGAGAGAGATGGGTCTCCTCAGGTCAGTGCCCAGAGACGAGTGGTCCCAAGGTGCATCTTTTTCACAATATTTCAGTCCACAGAACTGTTGGATCTTCAAAATTTATCACAAAATATTTCTCTTGAAATGTTTTAAGGTGAGAAATTACCAATCCTGGAAAGCTCAGACACTGAAGGAAATTGTTGTTGAATATGTTTAGTTTCTTTAGAGAACTCTGTCATACATTTTCACAAAATCAAAACATATTCTGAGACAAAGAATGGGAAATTGAGTTTTTCATTTTTGAATGAATACTAGAACTACTTTGACGCGAAGGAATATATTCATTTGAAGCCCTACTATAAATATTCATTCCTTTCAGAAGTGAACTGTAGTGTATTTTAAAATATTTCCAGAAAAATTGCACTCTTCATTCATTCTTGATCTACAATTTGTTAATAGGAAAACTTTGTTATGTCTGTCCTTTGATTCTATACCAACAATAAAGCTTCTGAAGAGGAACATGTTCTGATTAGAGGGATGTTGAATATAAGCCAATATGATTCAAAGGCAAAATTAGTTTCAAAGAACACTGAAGTTGCTCTGTAGAACATTATTTTACTTTTCCTCTTACAAAATTATTTTACTTTTCTTCCGTTTTCTTTATTATTATTACCACATTGAAGAAGAGGTTAGATGTTTTCTCAAAGCTCCGTGTGACTGTTAATCAGTGGTCTGCAGCTGTCTAAATTTAAGATTGCTCTTACGTTATACATAGTAACTTCTCATTAAACTAGAGGGGTTTGAAATAGTGTATAACAAAGGAATTTGGCACTGTGGAGAGAAAACGAGAAGCTCTAATTAGTTGGTTGATTAAAAATAGCTTTTTGTTTGTTTGTTTCAGAAAGTAAATATGTGTCCCAAGAAACTTAGTTTCTTGGACAAGACTTGTTAGTATTTCCAAGTACCCACAAATAAAGATAGTATTTTCTTTTTTATCATTTTTGAGTGATATTTGAAATACATTTTAAATCATGTTTAGTTTATTTTGAGGGACTAGAAGGCACCTCAGGGTTGCGTTTTTGTTTAGAATAATATTTCTCTGCCCAAAATCAAACATGTGAGCTTTGTTCTTCATATTCTTGTTGACTTAATTAAAAAGGCAGGAGGCTATCAGATTCTTTTACCATCCCAGAAAATAAGTATTTGGGGCACAGAATGCAAAGTCAAATGGACACAGTGCTATAGCAGCAAATAACTAGGTATTAGATATTATTGACAAATATATGTTACTATATATGTTAGCTATTAGTACCAGCTGAAAACATGGCATTTTAATACCAGTAGCAGCTTATGCAAAGCATTTTACAAAGTGTTGGAAAATTAACTTAAGCAGCTTCAGAGAGATGGTCCCAAGTATCCCAGGTGTATGCTATTATTATTTTAGATATTTATATTTTTTTAGTGTTACTATTTGCATTATATTGATTTCCATCTGAACAAAAAGGAAGAAAACATTGGTAATGAAACTGGGGGGTTTTGTTTTTTGTAATAAAATGACGTTGTTATCACAGCTTTTATAAGGTTACACCACAACCAAATAGCACCAAGCAAAATTTGCAAATAGGACTTGCCATTCCCCATTTCATAGTCTGTCTTTTCATGGCTATGATTTTAAGCTATATTATTAATAGAGTATTACATAGAAATTTATTATCACAGGCCATGTTTTTGTATGCAGTTTGTGTTGGAGACTTTTCAGGATCATTTTACGAATTTTAGGGACAGGCTTTCAGGATCTGTTGTGCGTTTTATATTGTGTCTTTAGGGAGGCTGCAGTTTTGGATGTATTTGGGATAACCATTCATTTTGGGAAGCAATGGGACAATGCTGACCTTAACATTTTTGAGCTTTTATGGTCTTTATTGCTCTTCTTTTCTTACAATGTCAAGTATTCCATCCCAACAGAAGGGCAAAGCGAAGGATTCCTGGTGATGGAGGAATTGTTCCCCAAAGGAAGAAGTGGTTAATTTTGATAGTAGCTTTTCTGTCTTTAATGTCAGAGGCCTGTGCTTGAGTCCTGTCAATGGAGACTGTGGGTGACAGTGACATTATTGCCCTTTGCATGTTGATATTTTGGCTTCGAAAAAGCAGAAGGGATCAGTGCTGTCTGCCTGGGGAAACACTGAAAAAAAGAATGCTTTTTCAAAAGATATGGCATTTATTAGTCAAATACCATATTCAAGTTTGCTCGACTCCTTGAAAGCGAGCGCATGCCTGCAAAAAGATGAATAGTAGAGGGAAAAATGGCAAAGTTACTTTGAAAGTAAAGTGAGATGCATTGGAAGCTGCTGCAGAAAGTTTTGTTACTCGAGAGTTATTGTTTCTGTGTCTTGCAAGATAAAACTCCTCTGGGAGAAAAGTCCACTTTGCAGAAATTTTAACCTGGACTACTTTTCAAGCAGCTGTTAATTAGCTCCAGCTAGCTGTCCTTCAAGGGCTTATCTTTTTCAAGGGGAAGTTTCTGAAAGGGCACATAAAGCACATTCGGGTTTGGTGAGACTTTACAAAAATCACATTAAAAAAAAAAAATCCCTCTTTTTGCATCCTTGTAGCTTCGCATTTTCAGGGCTTGTATGGCAGATGGCAAAAGGCCTTCGGAGGGATAGAAATTTTCTGTATACCCGTGTCTCACTATGTACCAGATGGATCAGGATGATCCACACGAAAGTCAGACATGCAGCAGATGTAACCACGCAGAGTAAATACAAAGGACGTCATTGTGAGATGTCATTGCAGAGTGTCAGAGCCTGCTTTTGGTTGGTGTGGTGGCTGCACTGAGGGCCAAAATGTCAACGGTTCTTATCAGTTGCAAGAATATCTACAAAATGGCAGCAAATATATTTTCATGTAAATCTACCATATCAAGGTGATTATTAAATTCCTGTTAATTTGTAGGCTCCTGTTCAGCAAAAGCAGAGGTTTAGACTACATCCAATGTAGTTGGATGTAGTTAGTTTATGTTCCTAAGCAGGACTTGGGCCATGGGCAGGTGTTCATTGCAGAAATATCTACCAAATTGGTGGCACTGGTGGGGTTTTTTTTCTCTCCATGCTGGATTGTGACCCTGGGGTTACAGAGCTGGTAGTCCCAGTGCAGGGCATGACAGAGAGGATGCTAGGCACAAGTTGCAGGGTCAGAAGATCTTTCCATGTATCCAACAGTCCTCCAGGTCTGAAAGGGCTGAACAACTTTTTGTACAGTTTATTTCTTGGCAATCTGGTGTTTTCCCAGCTAAGCCCTGAGATATGATTAGGGTGCTCCTGGGACATGGGAAAATGTTCTAGCAATCAACTGCTGTAGACAACTGAGCTACAACTTCCTACACTTGGACATGATTTGAAGGAAAGAGCAAGCTCTACTCAGTTCTTACAGGCAAAGAAAATACATACCACCATTCAAAAATAGTTCAGCTGAGGAGAGGGGCTTCCTGCACCACTAAATGAGGTGTCACAGGGGAACTATGGCTTTAAGTATCTGCATACTGGCCATGACAGTTGTAGGTGTCTCTGTTCTGCATGGGCACCTTTGGATTGTGTCCTAAATGCTTGGCTTGTGGCCTGCATGGGCAGCTGGGATGCCCAACACAAGGCTGTGTCAGTGCTCGAGTGAGAAGGTGCCCAGCAGTTCCTGCCAAGCAGACCTTAAAGCAAGTCGTGTTCTTCAAGGGTTTTGGCCTTCCCGCAAGAAGACATCTCTCTGTCTAGATAAGCAAGCGTGCACCTGGGCTGCTGAAGGCTATGAAATTCAGCACAGTTGCTCAGGCGCCCAAGCTGAGTCGTCTTTGATGCTGTTTTGTGAGTTTCCTTGAAGTCAGTTGACTATAAAAATTGTGGCTTTCATCTGAATGGCAGAATCCTTTTTTATCCTCAAGATTACAAAGATCGTCTTTATAACATGAGCTTACTCCAGCACCAGACTGATTTACTTGTTTACAACTAACAACTTACTACCCAACTAGTACCTATTTTGGAGAAAGTTTTTCCTGTTTTTTGCAAGCATGGGTCTGGCAGCTCTCCTTAATGTCCATTTTTGAAGTTCAGTCTCTTAAGTCAGAAATCATCAAGGTATATAATTAATATATAATTAATATTCTACTCCTCAGATGTATTCAGGTAGGTAAATTAATAAACTAATGACTATCATAGTTACATCCTTATCAAAGTAAAGGTGAAGGGGAGAGGCAAACATTTAATTTGGTTCATGTTCTGAGAAAACAGGAGCTTCAGAAGAATGGCACTCATGTCCCAGTGTCAGGCCCATCCGTGTTGGTATTTAGGGCATGAAGGAGATACCTACGTAAGCAGGTGACCCATCTAAGTGTAGATTACTGCCAGACAGAGCCGCTACTGCAGCTCTCGTAAACCCAAGAAGAAACAGTTGGTTTCTACTGGAGTTGTTGCTGCCAAGTGTGGTGATGGTTAAGCTAACACTGTTAGCACCAGGCACACAAATCCCTTGTGCTGGCACCTTCCCCATCCAGAAACTTCTGAAGTTAATCTCTGTGCACTATTTCAACCACTAACAAGGTCATCAGATGAGGTTTCCTCTGGCTTGGTCCAACTTTTCCATGACATGGCTGTAGCAAGGGATAGCCTTTCCTGTGTCACAGAGACAAGGACAGCAACAAGGTGGCCCTTAACACCAAGCTGGGAAATCTGGCAGCTGCCTGGGCTCTGTCTGGCCAAGCAGAGCATATCCACTCCAATGACTAGGGTTCCTGCGCTCCTTTTTTCCTGTCACATCCAGAAT